GTGTAATCTTTCATGTGTGTTACTTGACATCTGCCCACAGACAAACAAACCCTTAGAGCATTAAACAATATTTGAGACCCCCGTGCAGCCAAGCTCAAAGCAGCTCAGCGGACCAAGAGTTCAACAAACAACCAGACAGGAGTGAGCCGGCCAAACTGTTGCTGGTCGTCCTCTGWTTCTGGTTATTAGAGCAGAGAGGTYGTAAAGCAGAAACAAAAGACATGCACGGCAGCTCCCGTCATGGCTGCCAGGTCRTATAAAAACCCACCAAATCAATCCTCAGGACGGAGCAGCAGGAGGGTCACGGCACTAAACCTGCTGTCTGGCAAACTGGCCGATAAAAAAAAAACCTAAACGTTTATTACGATCTGAAACAAAGTGCACGTTTTCGATTGGATTGTGTTTATTTTCAGTCATTCCCTGTGGCGGTGAAAGTTAGGTGAGTTGTAACTGTTTCTTTTGTTTTGTTTTTTGTTTCCTGCAGATGCAAAGAAGCAAAAGAAGGAAGGGAAGAAGCGTCCCCAAATGAACTGATGAGGATTTTCTGAGCCTGGAAAATGGAAGACGACTGTGGAATGATGTCCTCTGCCTTATTTCAATGTGCTTTCTGTTTATATGTCCTGTAGCTTGACAGTAGGGGCCTCTGTAGCTTTGACAAAACCAGTGGAAACAAGCCTTTTTTAGTGAAAATGTATTTTTTTTTCCTTTTTGTTTTTAGCAACCAGATAAAAAACACAACTTGTACTTTGCCTTAGGAGACAGTTCACAGTGGTAGGGTCGGATAATGAGAAGATCTGTTTACCAGTTTTCTCATTTAATTATGTTATCTGTTGGGTTATTTTCTTAAGAGCAAATTGCCTCAGATTTGTTTTACACTATAAACAGCCCAGCTCTAATTTGGACACAAACCCACCCTTTTTGAGCCTGTGCCCTGGCTTAATGAAGCAGTTTGCTAAAAGTACGGCTTCAAATATCTCCACTTAATTAAATAGAAAAAGAAAAAATAAAGTCATGCATTTGCAATTTTAAGTGACCTAATTTAACACTTTTACTGTTAAACAAACAGGTCAATTTACAGCAAAAATCGCTTCTGTCATAAAGTTTTATCTCCTGCTGCTCTTCTGTACCTCAGTTTACAACCACACATTGTTAACCCTTTCTTTCTCTTTTTAATTCCTGTCCTAGGTCAAGATTTAAAACCTAACATCTTGTACTCTTCTCGGTATATTTGCTAAATTAAAAAAGAATCAATAAAAGTTTGAAAACAAAAGACATGTATTGCCTTTTGTTAAGGCTGGCTTTTTTTTAAAGATGTCGCCTTCTGAATTTGAAACTAAAATAATTTTATGTTTAGAAAAAAAACAGACTCCTGGTCATTTGAAAAGAAATGTTTCGGTTAGCGCCTGGAGTACCTGTTGTGATTGTCAGCTGCTACCACAAGAAGTTTGAACACAACGGGGCTGATTTATCAAAGGTTTGCGTGCACAAAAAGGCGCTTAAAGCTGATTTATCAACTGTGCGCACCAAGGATTCCATCTATCATAAGCATAAAAGCAGAGACAATGCATTTAACGCACATATGCACTTGCAACACTGCATTTTTTTCATCTGAATTATTTGCCTCCATGGCGACAGCAAAATCCTCATTTCAATTGGTCTGCACCGTTTTTGCACCATATCGTTTGTGCACACCATCTTTGTAAATTGCAAATACGCTCACTAAAAGCACACACAATTTTTAGCTTGCCCAGCAATTCAGCACTTGTTATTTGGAATATTTATAAACCAGCTCCAATGGCTGTAAAATTTAAGTACAGCCATTTTCAAGTATGCTAGGTGTGTTGGCTGCGGATGCCAWCTTGAATACAGTTTATTCTAAAAGTGAACGAGTTGCCGATGTTCATTAAATAATTACTTTTAAAGGGTTTCATTAAAAGTGTTTCTCAAGATAACAGACACAGACATGAACGAAGTAGTCAATAAGGAGAAAAAATTATTACTCAACATTTCATGTTTCTTTTGCTAAAGTTTTATTTGAAGAGGTTATGGTACAATGTAACCACTTGATGCAGTTCATTTTTTTTTACAATGTCGTAGCTGGCCAGTGATTGAAAACACTCAGATTTATTGTTCAGAACAAAATCATCAAGAATAAGTCAAAACAAAAACAAGGAAAAAATATCTGTACCAATGTTACTGTACAGGAAGTGTCAGTGTGGGGGAGGGGGAGGAGGATCAGTCAGGGTTTGTTCAGGGAGTGGACATTCAGATAGTATCTAACGTGTATTTACATATCAAATGTACCACATATAATGTATATAGATATTTATATACAAGTCAAACAACACACTGTTTTTTGTTTCCTATTGCAATAAAAGCCATAAAAGCCACATGCCACAGTGAGTGAATACACAATGAACACCTAAATACATAAGAAAAATGGCAAATTAACACTTGAATGTACGTTTAACACTTGCAGCAGGCTACTGATATTTATACATATTATTATTATTTTTCATCTGTTGTTTTTTTTTAGTCAAACCCCAGGTTTTGTTTTGTGACCCGTTCAGTTCAGATCAGATCACAACACTCTGACAAGAACCGACTCTTCCCTTCAGGATAGTGAAATTACAAAGAAAGCAAAGAAAAAACCTTATATAGTGTGTCCACAGAGTGAAGCAGCGTCTTCCCAGGGTGAGGGTGAAGCCTCATAAATTTACAGGTGAAACCAAAATGAAAGCTCTCGCCTCTGGGCTCTTGGACCACACTGAAACTAGTTTTAGCTTTTGTCATCCTCCTGGGTCTGTTTCCCTCTTTTCTTCTTCTTCTT